GCTCTTGACAGCCAGTCCTAGCTCTTCTTTGCTGACACCTCCGCACGAGCATGCGGCGCACAACCTTTTTGGGCCTCTCCATGCCGAAGAACTGCTTTCCACCCAGCGCTCTCTTGAAGCAGGGAAAAGGAGAAAGCAGGCGAGGTTCATGTCAGACGAAGAGACTTTGTTTGTGGAAATTTCACCTCTTCTCAAAAACCCCCACCGTCACATGAACGTGTGAGGCAGGACGTTGTCGTGATGGGCTCGGAATTTGTGATCTTCTTCAGGCAGCCGTTTATTGGCCATGACCCAGGCCACCTTCTTCACTAGTAAAACGAAGCTTGCGGAGTTGATTATCTTATCTCTGAGCAGGAAACCGATCCTGACTGCGCCGAAGAAAACCGTACACGTGACCTCACTCGCGCGGCCGGGTCTGGGCCGACGGTGCGAACGGCCGCCAGCATTGAGTGAGACCCTGCCGGAGGGTTGACTGAATGCAACAGTTTCCCTGGTCGGAAAAATACGTTTATCCGCGGCTGATGCCCCTACGCCAACGCAATCAATATCATGATGCCCCTATGAGCATCGTCTCCTCATTCGCGCGTGATCATAAATTTGTTTCGTGGCCGCTGCATTCTGGCGCTCCGACACGGGAAAGCCGGGTGCGGTTAGACACACGCGATCAAGGATGATAGGAAGAAAAAAGGTCTTGTCACCGAGGAGCGATTTACACTGGCCGGCCGGTAGTGTTCCGACAATGACATCACGTACGTTTGGACGCGCCCGTCGTAGGCGGTTTAACAGTATACTGAATTAGCCGCCATAACTTGCAACTCGCCGGCATTCCTGCCAAGTATCGAACAGTGACGATGTCGAGGAACGAAAGGACCAACGAGAAACCAGAACCGGACAAGTGTGTAGTACTGGAAGCTGATAGCTCTACTACCAGCGCCATCGAATCACACAGTCGCACTCGTAGATGTGGTTATAAGTGTTTCTGCGGGGTCCACCGTATTTTGGCCATCACGCCATGGGCAAACCTGGTGCAGTTAGTAATCCGTCTGAAAGGAGGTACTTTGATCAAAATGTCCATGTCGGCCAATCACGGTTTACCCGTCGGCTGATAGTGCTCCGAAAATGGCATCGTGTGCACATGACGCGCACCTGTCGCGCACAAATAAAAACATTTTAAATTCAGCCTTCATCTTTGGAAATCCCCGCTGCAGCCGCCAACACGATCAACCAACAAAGAATGACACGCTGTCGAAGGAATGGGAAGGGGGGGGGGATTTTTGACAGAATAAAATAGACACCAAAATCAGACAAGTGTGTTCTACTGAAACCTCAAAGCCCTATACGAGAACTACCGAATGCACACAGTTGCAACGTTCGGAAACGATTCTATTGTATTTTCCGGACCGTCATTTCTGGTCATCACGCCACGACCAACCGAGCCGCAGTTAGCAGTGCCCCTGAAAGACACAAACTTAACAAAAAGAGCGATGTCATCCGCAAGCAGCTTACACTGCCCGCCGAAAGTGATTATATGATGATTTTAAGTGCATATGATCGCATCCTCCACGCAGGACTAAGCATGTTAAATCCAGCGCCATAATATTACAAACCGCCACCAAGGCGGGTTCGCCAGCGCTGAGTGAAACGCTGTCGGGTAGTCGAAAGTAAGACTGTGGTACTGGCACCTTATAGCCCTATACCAGCTTTATAAAATGCAAACAGTCGCACCCTTCACGACTGTGCGATATTGAGCATAATTCCCGAGCAGCCGTATTCTGGCCATCTTGCTACGGGCTGGTCGCCCGCAATTAAAAATACGCCGGCGAGGGGCGATTTGAGCAAAAAGACCCGTCG